CTCTGGAGAAGCTAACGTCACCTCACGCTGATGTTTCAGATCAAGATCGAGAAAAAAGGGCTGCACAGGGCAGGTGAGCGGACACGGTCCCTTTTGTATTTTGCTTCCACAGGGCACAGAACCTGAAATTGCGGGAGGATCCATTATACAAGTGACCAGAGGTGAAGTGGAGGTAAGGTGTACTGCGCGTGACATAGTGAAAACATTTTTAAAAAATGAAGATCCTGTTCCTTTTGAAATGGTGCATGTTTCGCTTGTGAAATGGCGGGGTCCAACCACTGGCAAATTGTGAAGCAGCTCCAAGTTGTGGTGAGCTCGCTAAGCGTTGAGGCGTTGAGCTAGCCACACAATCAAACAAATTTAAATAATGATGGTGGAGCCAAATGGGGTGAAACCATAGCATATGGTAGCTGTCTTGCTTTCCAACCAGCATTGACATGCTATCTGTGTCAATTGTTTTTCATTTACCGCGGCTTACTACATGTCTCCTTGGTGACAAGGTCGATAGCTCTAAACTGTCCCAAGTAGCTCTGTTTTGACAACTCTGCTGTGACAATCGTGCCCTATCAAATCACCGCCACCAGGAATAGGTGAAAGCTTGAACAAGACCTAAGACCTAAAATGGGAATTTGGATCCAATCTAGATGAATGGAAGCCTTGTGGACATGCTTTCCTTTGTGCTTATATAATAGTTATAATGTTCACCTCTGACAAACCCAAGTCAGGCAAATGTTTCTTCTCCCCTCCTCCAACCTACTCATTTTCATCAGGTCTATGAGGTCAGACTGCCACAACCAACGTCCGGCCTCTGCATCCTTCTGTGGCCCTGTCTCTGCCTCTCAGGGCAACACCAACGGTCCGTCGCTGGAGGTTTGATGGGTTCTTATGGATGAATGTGGTGATAAATGCTTGCTAACTACGCCGGTAACTACGCTGAATATTTTGTGTGCACTGCATCCTCCATTCTTGGGTCACACCAAGGATCATACGTCACTTTCCGAGGACCCACACTCGATCAGCGGTCGAGTGATGATCGCTGCTAATTAGGTCAGCACAAATCGATTCTGTGGAAAACTTATGGCAACATATCCAAACAGGCCCTCGTGCCACAACTGTATATATAATATGTATATTATATCAAAGGTATCATGTCCACGCAATATCCAGTAGATCATCAGATCATGACTGTTTCAGCCGTAGAAGCTTTTAGGGGTGGAGGCATAGAAGGTTTTGCTTCTGTCAGTGCTCTACTGCCAGATGGCTCTCAACTGCGTAATCCTTCTTCAAGTAGAAAGCCAAGCCGACTCTACAGATTGGGAGTCGTAGAAAGAGAGAGAGAGAGAGCCTCTCTCTCACTTCAGGTTGAAACATCAAGAGCAATTAACACAAATAGAGAACCGCAACACTTGCCGCCCAAACATGTCTGTCAGCTGCAACGATTCTCGGCCCGTCGCACCTGCGACTCCATCTCCTGCTAGTCGCTGCCACAAGTGTGGAAGATTTGAAGCCCTAACCATAACCCCCTTTCCGAAAAGTGTATTTTTCAAGCAAATCTTTCCAGAAATCGAATGGGAATGTAGGAATGTTCATGAATGATCCAACCCCCACTCGATCTTGGGAAGTCGCCTTCAGCCACCCACTAGTTGCAACAGCGAACGCCCACTCGGCCAAATCAGCTCCTGTGGATTAGGTGTTGTGACCGGTAGGACGCGCACCTGCCAGCGTTGTTGTGGTGCCTGCCAGCACAACACCGCTCGTCCGTGTACATGCTTTGAATCAGGCGTTCCCTTATGGCGAGAATCGGTCGCACATTGGAGTCAGAGCACGCTGTCAAACACTGAGTCGCAGCGACCGGTGCCTGGACCTCTTTCATATTCTTCCGCAAATACGGCATATGAACCACCTGAGCTCTGATGCATTCTCAAAAATGTTCAAAAATGATCTGGATGGATCAACACATCGTTGGAGTAGATCTATATCCTTGTTGTTCGCAGCTTGATTGCTTTCGTCCATTGCCAATTGCCTTGTAAGAAACGCCCCGAAGAGGGATCCCCTGATCTTAGGTGGTTTATGATGTCTTGGGCCGTCAACATGAGCGGTCAGAACCCCCCCCTTCGGGAAGCCTGAGAGTTCTTTTTGCACGAGAAACTGGATTCTGGAGTACTACATGCTGCAACTAACGCAGGAGTTGCTTCCACGCAACAGGACCTCTGAGTTACAAGCACAGTCCCCGCGCACGCTTCTCCTTCCTTCCCCCATCGCAATCAGAGTTGCAGGACATTGATAGCTGTTTGCTAGGGCACAACAGTCGCTCCTGGCGAAGAAATTGAGTGATCATCGTGAGCTGTTTAGACTAGGGAGAACTCCAACATCAGAGGCAGGGAAAATGTTTCTTTGGTGCTTCTCCCAAGAGACCAACAAACCTGAAGGAAGAAATGCATCAGCTCCATTCAGCATCCTTGCAATAGAACTCATTCCAACTCGCTGTTTTGCTGGAAGTGTTGTAGGCTCTCCTGCACTGCATGCTGCTGTAATTGGTGGTGGGCGACAACCAGCCTGGAGCAACCAGCATGGGAGATGTCTCACATGAAGTTATAGACTCCAACTTGTCCCTGTATTTCAAGACTAACTTAGCAAGTCATTATCCACAAGTTGAAACTCGAATATCAAACTTCACACTTCTCAAACGTCCCAGATTTCTCAAACGTTAAAAGGCTCGCATGGTGCACCGGAAAACGCGTTAGACCTCAGTATTTCAGGACTCAATGGAAAAGGTGATGAGCAGCGACCGGCCCGAATGAGGTGCCCAAAACAACGCAGAAAATCCATGGCCCCCGGCAGATGTAGGGCCCGGTGAAATTCGGTCGGTGTTTCTTGAAGATCCACTCAGCGTTTTGCACGAAGGAAGCCTGGCTACTCAAAAAGTGTGATTGATCATGTAAACGGATGTAGTTAGAGACAAATGGATCTCACAAAATGAGGTGAGATAAACGTAGGTTCCTTGGTTTTATTGTTTTTCATATGATTTTGTCAGTTGTCAGCGTAGCTCGGGACACAACCAAACGTGCCCTTGGTTTTTCATCAAAGGTCTTCTTGAGAGCAGGGGACTGTGGAAGTGGTTTTTTTTTTGAGTTTATAGCGTCTATAGTTCCTTGGTTGAAATGTGTTTGCCCCATCTTTCATGTAACTAGTTCTGTCCGGAGTTTCTTCAAGTCTTGTCTCCTGCACACAAGCTCTCAAGTGGTTTTTCTCTTGGTCAAGTAGTTTCCTGTCAAAAAGATGATTGGGTTCCATCCTGGCGTAATCCAAGGGTCCTAGAGCTCTGTAATTAGTCACTCCTCTACTTATGTGTATATATATATATATATAAAAAGAGACAGTGATTCTTGCTGCGTGGCCACTTTGTCCATTGTACTATTGTCTGTTAGCTCCTCATCTTCTTCTTGATCAACTCTTTTCCCCGCGAATACCAATAAGTTACTCTTCCTCTCTCCTCAACAAGTTTTTCCCGTCTCAATACAGAGGTTTGCTAGATTAAATGTGTTTTTTTGTGGTTTGGTTGGCAGCTTTCAATACGCAGATTAAATCAAAGCAAGTGAGACGTGTCTCCAGTTTTCATGAACATGTTTGTGTTCTGTCTCAAAGTGGTGCCTGGCAGACATGATGTCTTAAAAGTTGAACACGTCTCAAACTGAAGGGCTTCAACTTGGCCAGGCTTGACTGCTAAATGTCTTCCAGGCCCCAGTCTCGCTTTGTTCCAGGTTTCAGCCACCAAGGAGGCCAGGAGAGAAATGATGGTGTTTGAGAAGAGATAAGCACTTCTCTCGGTTAGGCGCACAGCATCATGGTCAAAGGAAGTTTAGGGTGCAAAACTTCCGTGTTACGGACTTTCAAAAGCTACGACTACGACTACGACTACGGCGACTACGACTACGACTACGACTACTAACTCTACTACTACTACTACTACTACTACTACTAGGTAGTACTACTACTACTACCACCACTACTACTACTACCACCACTACTACTACTACTCAGCTTTAGCTCCAGTCAGCTCTAGCTTTAGTTAGCTCTAACTCCAGTCAGCTGTAGCTCTGGCCAGCTCTTCAACATGCATTT